GTAGACCCTGAGTCACTCCCAGAGCCTAAGGACCAAAATGCCGAGCTAACACGACCTCGGCGCAATAAGACCCAGTCGCCTCCATGGCATGGGCAAACTTTAAGGGTAGACTATAAGTCACCCCCTCAGACTAAGGGCTAAAATACTGAGCTAACTGAGACCTCGTCATCAAGAAAGACTTAGCCACTTCTGCGGTGAAGGCAAAGTATGAAATATCAGAGGCGTAAGCAGCTCGGGTTTAAACCCACGAAGCATAACTCCTCTCAGTACGATGGTTGAACTAAGGAATAACCAACAAACGCATAGTTCGGGCACACATGGTAATCACTTTGCGGTACACCATAGAGATGCCTTAAACGTTAAAGGACAGCTTAGGCATGTAGCTCTGAAAGCTCCAGTGACGAGATCGCTTTAGCAAAAATAAAGGGAGCACACCATACTTAGAAGAAAAAAAGAAGGAATTTCATTACCATTTCAAAAAAAAAAAAAAACGAGCTAAACAGCTCAAGAAACTTTAACAGAAGGTAAAAAGGGCACAACCGCCCAACAAGATCTTTTCAAGATCGGGTTTATGGCACTCGGGAGCCACCTGAAATCAGAGCAGAAAACCAACGCCGCCAGCCTCAGGGGTCCACCTCCTCCACCTCGTCCTCATCCTCCGGGGAGTCAGGCTCTTCCTCCTCCGTCGTCTCGGGAGACAGGCCCTTCATGGTAATGCCGTCGAGGTTGAGCCCAGAAAATTTCTTTCGGACCAACCAGCAACAGAGCTTGAATCTGGTGCGGTACGAGCTTGAGCCATATTCCACTTGGAAGTTGTGATACTCCTGGGAGTCCTTGAAGTCCCAGACCACTCTCTCCCGCTTGGCCTCCACCATGTTGTCAAAGTTCCGAGTTCGGTCCAGAAGAGTGGACTCCAAGTCCCGAACCTGTTGGTGAAGGAGCACCCTCTCCGCTACCACCCTCGACAACTCCTCCCTGTAGCGCGCGCTCTCTTCAGAAAGTCTGGCGATCTGCGCCTTCTGGTCTCGAACGAGCAGCTCCTGGGACTCGCTCCCCTTGCGAGTGTGAAGGAGCTCACCCCGAGTCTTGTCGAGCTTGCCCTGTAGCTTCTGAACGATGACGTTCTTGTTGCGAGCGTCGCCGGAGTGGGCGTGCGTCTGGAGGGCCATGGCGTGTTCACCTGCCAACAAGCGACTGGAGTCAAAAGACAACAAAAGGAAGCAAAAGACGAGAAGAAGAGAAGGACCACTTACCACCTTACAGTGAGAGGCGGCGAGCGCGGCAAGATCCCCAAGCTCCATCGCCCCCCACTTAGCGACCTCCTCATTGCAGATCGCCCTTCGGCTCCTCCGTCGAGCCACAACGAAATCATTCACAACCTCCCAGTTCCCCACAGGGAACCGCGAGTAGGGAAACGACTGAGAAGGACCGGGAGGGATCACCCCTTGCTGCGGGAGCTCGCCCTCCTCGAGGCTGGCCCCGCTAGCACCTCCTTCAGATGGAGGCGGCAGAACTTCGGGCGGCGGGGAGGTGAAGTCTGGCTCAGAAAACCCGAACTCGGTACCCCCAGTGGTGGGGGTCCGGTCGGGGCGCGACCTCTTCACTTTACGCTTCTGGTTGCTCGAGAGGAGGCGGCGCGAGTCAACACCAGACATGATGGCTGCCAAAAAAGAAACCACAAGATATCAGTTCGGTAAAGAACAAAGTATATGTATATGCACAATATTACTACAAGGCACTACGCGACCTAAAAAGACAACCTACCCAGACTCAGGCCGGCCTGCACGAGCTTCTCCTCGGTCAAGTAGTCCGAACAGAGGAAGCCTACCGATGCCAGGACAGCATCGTCTTCCAAGTTTCGGGGTCCAGCTCGGCCCCGGGGTCCTGGATGGCGCCCCTCCAAGAAGTTGGGAAGGGCCACCCCTCGGGGTTACGGACCACAAAATAATCCTGCTTCTAGGCGGGAATCTTATTTGGTAGCTCTTACAAGAGCTTATAGCCGTAGCGGGGAGAGAGGTAGTAAAAGCGCCTCTCCGGTGGAACCCCGGGAGTGGCATTTTTTATACAAAGAATAGAGGCAAAAATGTCAAGGTTCAAAGGGAGACAATACTCATAACACAAAGATATAGTCTCAACCATGTTTCGAATAGCGTTGGAATGAAGCTGATCGATGGTGACATTAAAATGGTTTAGCACCTCCACTATTAAGGGGTGCAGGGGGAGACGCAGGCCATCCTCGAGCTGTTCCTGGAAGATAACTATATCGTTGGGACCGTGCTCCCAAGGGAAGTTACCAGTTGGGAGGCTGTAGACAAGGTCCCCAAGAAGGTGAAAATAGTGGATCAGAGACCTAAGTCTCTCCGCTGTCATGGAGGAAGGGCCGAAAATGTCTGGCTCCCTCCCCCGGGAAGTAGATGCCACATCACCGTAGGTCTCCCGAGTCTCCGAGACCTCCTCCCAAGATCCCCTCGAGCTCGAGGGAGCCTCGTCGTCCTGGTTACCGCCCCGGTAGTAGGTATGGTATGGGTACCCAGACATGATTGATAGTGATTGGGACTCACCAGAAGAGATGAAACAAAGTAAACTGAGGAACTCAGGTAGACTAGAGGGATGCACGACCTCAGAATCCGAAGGCAACAAGATGGCATGAAAGGAAATGAGGCCCAGGGGGTCCTCCTATTTATAGTCTCTGTGCCTCTGAATCAATGGCCTAGATCAAGGCAAAGTTACACATAACCACTAGACTTGATTATAGTATTGCACTAGGTGTTGGATTGGGATGTCTTTGATGTGCCAATCAGTGAGATCCATTGAGGGTCAAAACCTGGGTATGTTGGGGCAGTATGAGAATTAACTTAAGTGGGTTTTTATAGTGGTAGGATTGGCCCCTTTGTTGGACAAAGTGAATGATAGGGTTAACACTCTCTTTTGATGGAAACCTAAACTGCCGGCAGTGGATTTCAATTGTGTTTAAGATTTGGTTTTGCGAAATATATTTATATGATATATATATTATGTTTTATGAAAAATGTTTGCAAAATGTTTTAATTCCCAGGATCCATCCGAGTAGAGAGTGTGACACTTTACCTTGCAGCCAGGCGAGAGGTCCTTCCCTGTTGGGTAGTGTTTGATCATTATGGGCCGAAAGGTTAAGTGTAAGAGACCATTAAGGGTTGATTACCTGATGAGCTTTATCTTACTTAAGTCCATTATCCTTAGGTCTTCATAGGATGGCTAAACATAGTGAATTCGACCATGCCTTTTCACAGAGGCTAGGCCGAACCCATGTTGATTTATGTGAGGTCATTGTGGAGTCCCACACCATACAAATCAGGCCTAACTTGGCCATGCAACACTCTTAGGTTGTGAGCCTTATAGCTGATGGGCCTAAAGCCCATAATCAATATGATTAATTAAACTGTCACATGATAGCTTTAGTTGTCATGTGACATGGGGCGAATTTGGGTATGGAGCACCTAATCTTAGAAGATAAGATCCATCTCTAATTAGAATCCAGATCTGATTTAGATCTGGATTATCTCCTAATTAGATTAGGAGATAGCTCCATAAGAGATTATAAAAGAGGAGGGGGCGGACTAGTCCAAGGCAACTTTATATTTTTGCAATTTCTGGTCCTCTCTGCACCCTTTTGTCTCTGAATTTTTTTCCACTTCGACCTCAACTATTTGGGACTGATATAGATCAGTTTTCCTCTGATTTTTGCAAGAAAAATCTTCCCCAGTTTGATCTAAGCAATTGGATTGCAGTTTTGCTGAAAACTACGTTGTTGAATTGGCTTCAAGAGTACACAATGCCATCTTCTGCGGAGGCTGATTTTAGGTCTGATTTGGACGTAAACTTCCACTTTGGGATTTGAATTTGTGGTAACTGTATCAGATTTACATATCCTTTTTTGTTTGGTTTCAAATCTAGTCCGATTCAATGCAAGACCAATCTTGAAAAATGTAGTTTTTCAAAACATAGGGAATTCAATTCCCAAAAGGATTAGGAAATTTTTGAAATTTTGTGCAACCATCTAGCATGGTTCGAGCATCCATATGATGGATCATAATCCTTCATTCAATAAAGAAATAATCAAGTTTCATAATATATTTTTTTTATTTATATTTTAAATTTTAATTTATTTATAATTGGCTTGAGCCAAGTCAAGGTTGAATAGCTTGTGAGTATTGAGCTCAAGCTGGAGCCACCCAAATTAAACTTGACTCATCTCGACTCAATTACACCAGTGGACTTGGGACCTTTGGATTGAAGGAGGATAATGAAGAAATGTTTTTTGTTTTTACATGATTTCATTTCTAAACCATTTATAGAAGATCGGGGTTAGCTTTGTCATTAGAAATAATTTATGTTCTAATCAGACAACTTATGTTAATGATTACTAACAGTGATATGATAGAGGGTAAGAGAAATATGAAAAAGCGACAGGAAGTCTTAAATAAGGGAAAATTCCCGATCAGTACCCTATACTTTGGCTCGAGTGACAATTTGGTCCCTAAACTTTAAAATGCGACAATCTAGTACCCGAACTTTCAAAATGTGACAATCCAATTCCCGAACTTTCAAAATGTGACAATCCAGTACATGTCGTTAACTAGTCTATTAATCAGCCGTTAAGTGACATTCGAAAAGTCAAAAATGCCCTTTGAATGCCATCTAATTCTCTTTATCAACCATCCAAACGTTGACACAAAACTGAACAGTCTCAAATCCTAGCCTCTTCTATTCAAAAAAGTTGGTGACTATTTAGAAGAATATAGAATTTGGGACTGTTCATTTTATTGTCAATGTTTGGGTGGTTGATAAAGAGAATTAGATGGCATTCTTAGGGCATTTTTGACTTTTCAAATGTCACTTAACGGTTGATTAACGGACTGGTTCACGACAGGTACTGAATTGTCACATTTTGAAAGTGGAGATATTGGATTGCCACATTTTGAAAGTTTGGGTATTGAATTGTCACATTTTAATGTTCGGGGACCAGATTGTCACTCGAGCCAAGGTACAAGGTACTGATCAAGAATTTTCTCTTTCAATAATAATCCTAAAGTAAAAAAAGAGAGCAGTCCACATTATTTTCCACTACGTATGTCAACAACTTGGTTTTCTGGTCAAGATAATATTGAGGACAATTACTCTTTTTACCCCAAGGCCATGGTAAATAGCAATATTTTACCATGGCTGTATTCTGCCCCTTGAGTTTTGGGAGAATGATGGTTCAGCCCAGGATCAGAATTTGTAGGCCCAAAGTACTGTTGGGGTAGGTGCCAACTCGAATTGATGCCAATTCACGGGCGAGAGTTGATGCATAAAGTGTTGGTTGTTGACCTTTTGAACGTTAGCTCTACAGTAGAAAGCGAAATATCAGAAATCTGCATTGGGCTTGTCCATACTTTTCCATGAATTTTTTGTTTTTGTCTATAGTACACACTTGTGGGGCCAATTAATGCTTTTTTTTTTTTGTTTGCACTCTTACTATTGTCGACCACATAAAAAACTTCTTACCAAAAAAAATAAAAAAAGAAAGACCGCATAAAAAGCTGCTTTTTATCATCCTTCTTCAATCTTCATATTGATGAGACAGCGTGGAGTACTGATTCAATGACCTTTTTGGGCATCTGAGATACTAATACAGCACCTGTTGCCTGCTTAACCACCTCTGGGGTCTGGAGTCTGGACCGAGGTTCCCTTGGCTCTGCCTTCCGTATGGAGAGTGGCGAGGCTCTTAAGGAAACGTCATCATTTTAATTTCTTTCCCTAGATCTGCGTCAACTGATAACTCTGGTGTTCCTTTAGTTGATTCAACTAGTCATTGATAGAGTATGTTATTCCACCATGAGAAATTTTTTAATCAGTTTTTCAATGACTTCCATTACAGAGCTGTTCCTCACCACTCTGTTTCGTATGAAGTTGTTCCTCACCACTCTCCATACGAAAGGCAGAGCCAAGGGAAATTGATAGAGTATGTTATTCCACCATGAGAAATTGTTTAATCAGTTTTTCAATGACTTCCATTACAGAGGTAGGGTGCTTTCTTTCGATCATTTCACTAATCCATATTTCAACCAATCATGTTAATTAGTTAAAGTCTTGCTTAATTTTCATTATATATAAAAAATAAATATTTTATCTAACGGAGGAGTTAATGCCTTGGTCAATTGCTGCACCAAATAGCTAGGACTCTTACTACATGAGTGAGCACAGGTTGGCATTATTTTATTATATTATTGGATCAGTAGAGATAAAAAATGAAGGTAATAGGACATACGGAGATTGCAAACCATATAAAAAATGGCTTTTCATTATTTATATATAGAGAAAGCTGGCATAAATCAGGATGCTTCGGAACTTTGTGAAGGGCTCTTTCAATCCTCCACTCATTGCAAAAGAAGAATGGAGAAGAATCGTCCTGCAAATCTCAGCTATCCAGAGAAGACAACTACTGTGAATTCACTTTCTTCTCGCGAAATGCATTCATTATGCACATTGTGTGACACCCTTTTGCCGTCTATCAACCATTCTGCCACTGACGAAGATGATTCTCTCTCCAATTTTTATTGGGCTTCTGCTTCCACCACTGCAACTCCACAACTTGTAAGAACATAATAACAGAAATCTCTCTCTCTCTCTCTCTCATTTTCTTGTATTTTTCAATATTTTTAGCTTTCGAGAATGTAGGTTGCAGGAATTATAACTGAAAAGTTACCACTTCCAAAGGCGGGTATCCTCCGCTTAACTCTATGGCTCCTCTCAACATGGTTCGGAACGTTTATATTGACTGGGAAATCCAGTTTGTCAACTAAATTCCCCTACTTCCAGAAATTCTCTCAGGTTTCACAGAAGAAACGGGAGGAGATACTTCTTTCATGGTCAACCAGTTCATTTAGCTTGCTGAGGATGTTGTTCAAAATCTTCAAGCTTCTCCTTCTATTCGTCTTCTTCACTCAGGTACAATACAACTCCATTCCCTTTATTAAATCGTTGAATGGGATAGTAGGCTGGTTTATTGGCTATTGTTCAAACTCTCTCAGACTTCTGGCATATTTTAATTTCAATCCCCAAGAACAAGGGTATCAAATTTAAAAATAGAAATTGCAAGAAATTAAAGCAAAATTAACAAAAAGAAAGATTTAAATCAAGTTTTGCATTGTTTGAGACAGTAAGATATGCAAATTTTAGAATAGCAAAGCAAGGACTATATATGTTAATTGCAGTTTAAACCCAAATTAAGCAAAAAAAAAAAAAAGGTGGAGAATTATGAGGATGAAATAATGGTATAGATTATTTCTCTCCATTCAAAAAACTACTCTCAGTGCTCCCTCAGCCCTCTAAATTCTGTTATCTATTTTCTTTTTAATGTTTTGAAAGAATAATAGCATTAAACCTGGGTTTATTAGGACTTGTAAGATATATGAAGAACTATTGTCTTTCTTTATTGATTTTCATGAATATATAAACAAAATATTTGAAGAAATTAATAATTACTTATTTTCCCCGTTTCAAGGTAATTACTTAAAAAATATCTATTTTATGGATAATTTATACAAAAGATATAGGAATTTGAGGGTATTTTAAAATTGAATTATAATACTTTAGGGATAATTCAAAAATAAAATTATGGGATCGTAGTATTTTAAAAATTTAGAGATATTTTAAATATCAATATTAAACCTAGATATATTTTACTAATTTACCTTCGGGTTCGGAGAATTATATACAAAACCTGCCCCTGCCCCATACCCGATTTGAGGAAAAATTATTTTCCATGTCCCTGCCCCATCTTTGTTTAGAGTCGGGGAAAACCCACCCCATTCGGAGCGGGGCGGGGCGAGGCCCCGGTTTTACGGGGGAAATTGCAATCCCTACCAAACACACTTTTAACTGTAGGGATATCTGTATTCTATTTTTATTTTTTTAAGATAATATGGGAAACAAACCGAAAAAGGAATTTATATCATCCCAACAGAACATGTCCCACAACATTAAAAGTATCTCTCAATAATAAATAAAGATGTTCCCATAACACGCTAAGAAGTACTTGTGGGGCGTGTTGTATAGGGCGCTAATTGGAACTCCGGAGAAAGGACTATCTCACAGTACCCACGAACCATAATAGCATGTGAGGCCCATAAACTTTGGGCGGTCCCATTATTTATTATATTTGACTCTTTTCTTGAGCAATGTCTATGACGATAAGGGTATGATACTGTTTTTCTGGGCAATTGCTAGATTGTATAAATGCTAGTAGACGGTTTGATTGTCTGGGTTAATAGGTTGTTGACTTATCCAACGATTTTTGGTAAGGGATCAGGTTTAGGGTAAAACAAAATTGATTGTCTAAATGGCTCTCAAGCTCAACAGTCCAACCGTCCAAGTTAACGGCAGTTTAAAAACCATAATTTATAATTTTACTAATTCCACTTTCTTCTTTCTATTCGGAGTATTTTTCTGCCTCGATCTCTCTCAACTTTGGTTAACCTTCATTTTGGTTGTGCTTGTGGATTCCAATTACTGTACATAAGTGCATTTTTTTTTTATATCCGTTATATATAAAATCAAGATTTCAATCAACATGCCAAAACATCACATGGTATGCATTTACCAATCACATAGTCTACTTACTTTTGGAGCAGTTATGTGCCTTGTCACCTTGCCTTAGTTAACCTTTCATTTTGTTTTTCTTTCTCGAGTTCATTTGTGGTGTATTGACTAATATTTTTTACATATTAAATTAAGATTTCAACTAATTATGTTAAAAACATTACTTGACCTATTTATCTTTTATTGGTTCATATTTAATAAGGTTAAAAATGTAAGCTGTGGCGTAACATTTTATCAATCAATGGTTCACATTTTTTGTTGCATGGTGCAGGTGATGAACCATAGATTTTGCCTTCTCTTAGGTTATGGTTGGTTTGAGGGAAAAGGTAATGAAAAGAAGGGAAAGCTAAAAAAGGCTATATAAGGTTTGTAAAAGTTTCCCTACCTTTTCCTTCCTTTCCTTACTTTTTCCTTTAAACCAAACACAACCTTAAGGTTGTTTTGTTGGTAGTGCAATTTCTTTTGCCCTAGTATAAATGCACGGAAGTGCAAATGAAAATTCAGGTTTACTTTGCTTTGATTCAGATTTTATTTTACTTATACAATGTAAATAAATAAAATAAGACATAAGGAAAAATAGAAATAAATCAGAATTTGCACTTCTATTTTTTAACTAATACTAATGATGCATTGTAAACAAACTAGGCCTAAAGAATAAATGGAAAAGAGTCCTGCTATTGTAGCCTTTTATAAGAGTGTAAATGCAAATATATTCGGCCAAAATACATATGTCCCTCTAGACCCCACATTGGCAAGAGCCTCATCCGCTTCTTTGTCCTTTTTATTTGATTGTGATTGATTTAAATACAAATTTAAAGAGTGGAATTTACTTTTTCTACATTGACCTACTTTGTGTGCAAATTCTCCCATTTTGAAATAAAAAGCAGTCATGAAAAAATTAATTCATTTTTCAGTACATAGACATATCCTTACCAAACACAAACAGAAGCAAACTTTGCTCCCATTTTGAAAGCAAAAAAAAAAAATAGAAAAAGAAAATTTACTTTTATTTTCAGTGCAAAAATGTATTCTTATCAAAGATTAGAAAATTTTTGATTCAGAGTACAAATTTGCTTTGGGTCAGCATCTGTACTAAAGTACTTAAAGCCTAAAGAGGAAAATCCATTATGTGGTCCACTCTTCTCCTTAGGTTGTGTTTGGTTTGATATAAAATAAGAGAGAAATGGAAAGCTAGCTGAACAGAAGTTCTTAAACCAAATACAACATTAAGCTGAAGTTTGGATCAATTTGATCCAATGAGATTAGTAGGTCCAAACTAAACAATGGAACCAAATTGTTTGGGTTATGGTTGAGTTGGCCAAGGATACCATGTGGCAACCTCCGCATCCATCCTCTATCTCAAGCCATGTCAACACCACGTGTGATGGAAGAGTGCGATTAAGAAGGAGTGTCTTGCACGGACAAGGAAGCGAATTCTATCGGGGAAGAGGAAACCTCCCGAAGACCTCAACAAATGACCTCATCCCGACAATCTCGAGAGCCCTATCCACCTGGAACACAGACACCCAACTATAAATAGGTATTCCCCACTCGAAATAAGGGACTTTTGAGAAAAGACTCTTGGAATATCTCTCTACATTATCTCTTTGGCCCGGACCAGCATTATTTCAACATGCTCAGCTCGGTCACCTCTTTTCTATCCAACTGACTTGAGTATCGGAGTACCTACTTGGGGAACAACTCCTCGGGCCTCTGACCTTTCTCCTGGTTGCAGGTCTTAGTGTGTGGCTTCATCCTTCCACTTCAACCTTGTCTAGCCGGCGGGATTATCTAATTGTGTCCTCGGTTTGGAACACCTCGGATCAGACAACATTAGATTGGCGTCGTCTGTGAGAAGCATACAAAAAGTCATTTCCCAAACACCTTTACGTGCACTAAAAGCAGTCATGCCTAAAAGCACATATGATCGCTATAGAGCCTGTTCCCCATTTTGGGGATCTTGCTCACTTCATAGCTCTCCACCTTAGGAGCCCCAACATCAGACCGCATTTGACCCCGCGCAATTCCGAGTCATGCAGTAGAAAATCAATCATATCCTATTCATGATGGAGACGTTGGAGCAACCAGCTCGTGTCCCTAAGCCACTCGCCCTACCACGCAGGCACCTACTATAGCCGTTCCTCACACCGATGACCCCAAAAGGTGCCACAAAGATGGGCACATGGCCCAATCTGACCACGACCATCTAGAAGATTTGACTCCCCAGCCCGACCACTTTCATTTAGTGTCCCCATAATAATGGTCAGCACCGACTATTTCTCTCTCTCTCTCATACCTTCAAGGAAGAGCCATAGCGCTACAGCAATGTGATTATCACCCCAACCAATGGTGACAGTGGGATTTGATCCGCAAGTCTCATTTAATATGTACAACCAGTCAGAGAACATTGAAAAAATTAGATATAAGTGGACTTCAATTTACTCAGAAATCTGAAATTGCAGCCCCTTCTACTATATTAGTACCTCCCCTAAAACCACATCCTATTCGTGGATTTGACATCAATCCACGGTCAGCAGTCTATCCCTATAAATCTTAACTCCACTATAGGGGTGGACTGAACTATAACATCCCCCTATGCATGGATAAATTAGGTCAAGCATAAAAAGAATAAAAATAGAGAGAATGACAGTTCAATCCATGATCAAAATTTTTAGGCCCAAAGTACAGTTGGGGTAGGTGCTTATCCTACTTTTCCCATATCCTCCAATTTTTTTATTGCATTTAATAGGATGGTGGATATAAGTTTCTTGTACAAACAATTTCCAAATCAGACTATCAATTGGGCCAAAGCAAAATGCATGTTGATTTTTGGCATGGACAGTGTTTTTATTTGAACTCACATATACTGTGACCACTACTGTGCTGTACAAAATTTTTGCCACCACCAAATCAACACGGAGAGAGTAGTGATTCAACCAACAAGTAAATCACTCGGTGTATTGAATTCAACCATGTCTGTATTTTGATGGACAGTCACAAGAATTTGTGTGATGATGGTCACAGCGCAGAGGTGAGCTTGTTTTGTCTATGCCACCATTCAAACACTCATCATTGTAGAAACATGGACATATAAAACTGAGGATCATCACTTAGCCCGGCTGGGATTTCCACACTGATGATTTGGGCTATAGCCTGGACCTTGAAATATATATGTGGCATATAAAATATGTATGAAATATATGCTATAATTTATATATACAATAACTATATATTATATATGATATTTGGAATTAATTTTTATGACCTTAATAGACAAGCATTTGTTTTATATAGCAATAGATATATGTTATATGTGTCATCTTCTAATATATGTTAGAGGCCTGAAAACCCAGTCCTAAGTATAAAATGCTTGAATATTATGGATAAGTTTTTAAGAAGTATTGTTTGGATAAAGTTTTGCTATTGAGCTTTAGAGCTAATATGAGATTTGGTAATAATTGCTTCTGAAAAAGCCTTTTTGAGCCCCAATGGCCAATGCAGAAAGCCTGAAATTGGGACTGTGCTTTTGGGCTTTAAAAGCACAAACCCTGAAGATTATTTGGTTCCTCGGTTTTCTAATTCTTGTATTTTTCAGGTGGACGAGAAGAATGAGAACCCATCATGGAAGGCTCTAGGCTACTGTGGTCCAGATCCAGATTTCAAACACCAAACTCAAGCATCCAAAACAGACCAAGATGATTTAACTTCAGAAGAAGAGGAGAAAAAAGAAGAGCTCTTTGGGCCTCTCTATAGACGCCTCATCAATCCAAGGCACCCAAGACAAAGTATCGCAGAATACCTTGAACAATCTGGGTTTCCTGTCACAATAAACCATTTTCATGGAAACAAGACTCCCTCGATATCTTCTCCTTCTTTAACTATAAGATGTGATGCAGTCGTAGTGGGATCCGGGTCTGGTGGCAGTGTAGCAGCTGCTGTTCTTGCCAAAGCAGGCTACAAGGTGCTCGTCTTAGAGAAGGGAAAATACTTTGCAAGAAACAATCTTTCACTTCTGGAAGGACCCAGTCTCGAGCAAATGTACCTAGACGGTGGTCTCACAGCCACCGACGATCTGGGCGTCTTCCTTTTTGCAGGCGCCACCGTTGGTGGAGGCTCCACGGTCAATTGGTCTGCTTCGATACGAACTCCTGGTCATGTCATGGAGGAATGGTGTTACAGTCACAAGCTTGAGTTATTTGATCGCAAGCCTTACAATAGAGCCATGGATGTCGTCTGCAATCGAATGGGAGTTCAAGTTGATACTCGGGAAGAAAGCTTTAACAATGCAGTGTTAAGAAGAGGGTGTCTTGAGTTGGGCTACCCAGTGAGCAGAGTCTCGCAAAATGCGCCAATGGATCACTACTGTGGGTGGTGTGGTTTTGGGTGCAAGGACGGAAAGAAGCAGGGCACCGCAGAGACATGGCTGGTCGACTTGGTGGATTCAGGTAATGGCGTTATTCTTCCAGGCTGTGAGGCCTTGAAGGTCTTACATGAGAGAAAGAGGAGGAACGACAGAAGCACAGCCATTGGGGTAGCTTTCAGATTAGATAATGGCAGTGGAGGACATGATATTTGTGTTGTTGAATCGAAGGTGACAGTGGTTGCTTGTGGTGCTCTAAGAACACCTGTACTGTTAAAGAGAAGTGGATTGAAGAATACCAACATCGGAAAACACCTCCGTGTTCATCCAGTTGTGTTGGCATGGGGCTACTTCGCTGATGAACCAGCTTCATCAAATGGTGATGAGTGGGTCAAAGATAAACGGAGCTATGAAGGGGGCATACTCACATCAATGTCGACAGTTGTTGCAGGGTTTGAGGGCTCCGGCTATGGTGCAATTCTACAGACCCCATCGTTGCACCCAGGTTTGTTCTCAGTTCTGATGCCGTGGGTTTCAGGTGCTGACTTCAAAGAGAGGATGTCTAGGTTCTCAAGGACCGCCCATGTGTTTGCTTTGGCGAGAGACAAAGGATCAGGTCAGGTGAACTCAGAAAGCTCGCTGAGTTATCGACTGGATGCCATAGATGAAGAGAATTTAAGCAAGGGAGTAGAGAAGATGCTAAGAATATTGGCAGCAGCAGGGGCGGAAGAGATTGGAACCCATCATTGTGAGGGGAGGAAATTAAATGTGAAGCGAGCAAGCAAAGATGAGTTTGAGAAGTTTGTGAAGGAGGAGAGTGGGAGGAAACTGGGGGGGCTGTCGACGCCGGTGGCTTCAGCGCATCAGATGGGGAGCTGCAGGATGGGTGTCGACCGGGACAAGTCAGTGGTCTGCCCAAGAGGAGAGACATGGGAGGTGGAGGGGCTCTTTGTGGCTGACACCAGCGTATTTCCAACTGCACTTGGTGTGAATCCAATGGTGACTGTCCAGGCCATTTCTTACTGCACTGCACACTCCGTAATTGAGTTCCTTGAGAGGAACGACAAAGCCAAAGATGGCGGTACATTCTAATTGAAACATTCATAAATCTATTCAGACAGTCTCTGATACATAAAATAGTAAGTCAATTCTTCTTCTTATATATTTTGTAACAGGTCAGGTCAAATTGAACCTCGTACTTTAATTGGAGCTATATATGCTGTTTCTTACTTCATTTGTTTGATTTGGGGAAATTAGATTTTGCACCTTCTCACTGATTTGCACTATAAATTCTCATTGATTTGTTATTATTTTGTATCTGCACATAGAAATTACCCAAACCAACAGTCGAGGCAATAGATTAGCTATCAATATTTTCTATTATAAGCACATACATAACACAATCAGGCTCCACCATAAAACCGATCCAAGTTTCAAAGAGGGATGTCAATGGACACTCTGGATTTCCTGCTCAAACACATTTTTCACATCCCTGCCCACAAGATACTGAGATACTACCGTGCATTTGGAACATCTCCCCATGAATAAGGGTGATATTCCCAATGCGCGCCTGTAGTATCCTGTGGGTAGAGATGGCGGATGGGGGAGAAGTAGGAGATTCGGATTGGTCAATGGTTGGCATGTTTTAGGGAAGCATGCGCAGCAAATTCCAGCTCAGGCCTCAGTTGGTCAACTTGATCCGACCTTCAGCAAAGTTGAAGAGGTATAATGGTCGTCCAACCGAGTCTGATCAGCACATTAAATGAGCACTTTCAAATATTTTTTATACTTTGTCCCTTCAACTATTTTGAAAAAGATTAAAAATAACTTTTAACAGTTGTCAAAATATTTATAAAATACTGTAAAAAGGGGCCTCATAAGCCATGGCCTATAAACATTATTCCATGGAAGGAGAAAATTTTGGGAAATGATTTTAGACCCATTCATTGGGGCCCAATATATAATATATATGTTACTGAGATGACAGAGAACCTCACAATAACTTCCTTTCTTTCCCTTCTATTTATATCCTTTTTTATGTGTAAAATATAAAATCATACTTCTCTAGGTTTTGATATTAGCAAAAACCTCCCCTATAATTAATTTTCACAAAGTATACAATTTCCTCCTTTAACTTTCTAAACAAAAAGGCTGATGTAATATTTATTATATTCTTTTCAAAATACCAGTTTTACCCAAGGTTTTTAAAATCAAACTGGATAATGAACCATTCAGGGGTCCGATTCCTGGGTTGAATGGTCTGACCGTTCGGATCGAATATATAGACCATTTTGACAAAAAATTAAAAAAACATAAAAAATAAAAACAGATAAAAACCGCTGAACAGTTCGAATGATTCAAATGCCCAAGTCAATGATTTACTGACCAAATCAACAGTTTTTGGCCAAAATGATGATTCTGGGGTAAAATGGACCGGTTCCCAGTTTTCCGGTTCTGTCTGGTTTTGAAAACCATAGTTTTACCCTTAAAAACCATTCCTTGATATGTATATTTATTAAAATACCCAAAAAGAAAATTTATTTCAATTCCTCAAACAAAAAAGTTACTGTATGCGTTAATAAGACCTGGGTAGCGTTCCATTGTCTGTCCAATTTTCAGTGTGGCAAAACAGCAAGCAGTTCACGAGCCACCGACTCTCTGAAGAGTCTACGTAACCAGATACAAATTAGTACAAAGTATAAGTTCTGCATTCTACATATTTGTATTTATACTCTTTGCAAACTGAACCTTAATCTCAACATTATTCAACACTTAACGAGATCTCACATGCTTGAAGAATGAGATATGTAAAACCTTCAGGGTGGTGGATGCTTCTTTCCTGCTAAAAAACAAAACCCTTTATTCTTAGTAATAATTTGATTCATAAATCATTAATGGATTTCTAGAATATCATCTGACATATCGGTTTGGATAAAGCAAGCAAGAACATTGAAGGTTTTTGGAGCTGTTTTCTTTGGCCTCTTACTGTGAATTTTATTTTATTTCTGAAGTCAAACCGTTTGGGCTTCTGATTTGTTAAATTGAAGTTTCGGATTTTTTTTTTTTAAGAATTTTGGTTATGACACATTCCTAATATTTCCTTTATTCAGGTAAAGCTAAAAAAAAAAAGAAAGAATAAAATCTGGTAGATTTCGGTTTTATTTTGATATAGTTGGTTGAACTTCTTTTGTGATTTGAAGGGGGATTGGCATGGCTGCTGGTCTTTGGATAGGCCAAGGGAGTTGTTCAGCAGATAGCAATGAACACTTTAGCTGTTCAGCAGGCTGTGAAACACCCAGTCTATACCCCCACTCCAACCGCATCTTGCCTGTGAATTTGGCATCGCGACCCCCAACATTCTCCCTTCAATTTCTTAGTGGGCCCCATATATTTTATAAGACTGGTTGGACTGGAGTCTTAAAAGACCAGAATAATAATATTCAACTGTTGCATCGTTTATAGGTTTGAGAGATTTTGCCATTACGAGAGAGATTATGTATGTGTTTGTATTTGATTTGTTTTCAAAACTGAGAAAAGTATTTGATAAATTGTTTATGGACAACTAGGTGCCATTAACACCACATCAGCGGAACAATGAATAAATGTTCTCAACTATTGGAGGAATGTTTGGTGTGTATATAAATAAAATTCACTTTTGTGATATCAATACCTACGGATGAATATAATGGAAAAAATGCTGATTTGGCGATGATATGACGGCATTTTGATAAACGCCTATCATGAAATGTCCATGAAACAAAATACATGCTATATTTATCAACGGTGGCAAACACAAGTATACAAGGTACGTGGTGAAATAAAATGCTGCAATTTTCAATTGTATAATAATACCATAATGGTGGTAATGGCATTTTTATAATTTTAATGATTTTATTACCAGAATGAATATTGAATGGGAGTAAGGATGCAAATGGATCAGATCAGATTCGAATCAAGGTATATTTGAATAGATCTGACATTAACAATGTTGGATGCGATCCGATCTAAAAATTTGATCGGATTTGATAGGACTTGATTTGGATTCGAATCTTATTGATAAGTCGGATATTCGGATCTGATCAGATCCGACTTATTTTCTTTAAAAATTAATAAATTATTAAAAGAAAAAAATAAAATATACTAATTTAAATAAAGTAAAAACAAAATATACAAGTATTTTTTAATTATTTTCATCATATATATATAATTTTTTTGATAAAAAATAAATAATATAACAAATTTATAAAAACATAATATGAAAAATATATTTATAAATAAATAAATAATATAGATCAGATCTTCTCGAATCCGACCCAAAGGTAAACAAGAATGATCTGAATTCAACCAAATAAGATCGGATTTCAAATTGGATCATGATCCAATCCATTTGCACCCCTAAATGGAAAGTATTTGTACATTGTTTTCAGAATCACAAGCGAAGTTTTTATTAACATCAAAACACAAGAGAGCTTTTTGCGATTGTCAGAAAAACTCAATGAGAGGTTTTTATATTTACCCTTTTTTAATATATATGTGAGAGTAATTTGTACAAGCCTAGCCGTTAGCCCCTAGATAAGCTTCAATTTCCTTGAAACAATAATAAAAAGTCCTGGTGATAGCAAAATAGGGACAAACGTTCAGGACAGACACAGACACCGGTTCAGTATATTGGATTTGTACTTTGGATATCAAATTGACTCTGAAGTCTGAACATGGATATTGAAATGGGAACCATAAGCCCATCACCTACCCAAATGGACTGCACGAGTCATGTTTCTGAAAATTTAGAAAGAAAAATAAAGCAACAAGTTAAAAGACAAGCACAATAGGGCTGAAGAAATAAAAACTATATATACCTAGAATGGTATTAACAGAAAGAGGTAAACAAAAGAGAATTCAATGCTTAGTTGTTTACCCATAACAACACTAGATTTACTTGTAATAAACAATAAAAAATCCTCAACTCCCCTCCCACCCACCATAAGAGAACATCATTACCACCATGGAGCATCTCTGAGTCAGAATGACAACAGCAATGAAGAAAACAATTTCAAGATAAACAACAAAAAAGCTCCTCCAATGAATCATCGGCCACTCTTTTACATGTATGGCAACAATAATACAATCCATAGTAACTACACTTTTAAAAAATGGTAACAGAGAGAGAGAACTCTTCTTCTCCAGCTGTAGTAGAATGAAAGAAATAATTATACATATAAAAAAAAGAATTACACCCCTTCAATGATTTTCCACCTTTATCTTTTCTTCCCTTTGCATCCACTCCTCACGAGTCATGATTAAACAAAACCAACTTATAATTCCTAAATTTCTTTTTTTTCCCTTTTATGTAAAAAGTAAACTAATCTCTACTTTCTTTCATCCACACCTCTTTGAGAGAAGAACCAAGAACACAATTAGAAAAATTATAGATGAAAGCCCAATTGCCACTCCAAGAACAATCTTACTTGGTCCATGGCGATGATCATCCTTGGATTTGCTGCTACCATCTGAACTTTCATCGTCGTCGCCGCTGCTGCTACTGTCGTATGAATCCGATGACCGGGCCGGTGGGGGCGACACAGGAAACCCATCTTTGTCACAGGGTGCAATCCCGAGCTTCAGCTTTGACGAAATAATCGTGTGGTTGTAACAAAGATTGCTATTGCCACCTACCTTGAACACGACCAACCTCTTTATGAAAGACCCATTGAAGGGCATGATCCCCTGAAAGTTATTGTTCTCAAGATTGAGATACTTCAACTGCTTCATCTCTGAGATGAACTTCGGGATGGTTCCATTGAACTGGTTCGAGCTCAAATCGAGGTGAACTAGACCTGGAATCTCCGACATTGAGTCGGGTATAGGACCCGACAATGAGTTCGAAGCAAATGAAACATTTGTAAGCGATAACAGGTCCCCCAGCGAAGTGGGGAGCTCACCAGAGAGCGTGTTTGAAGAAAGATTCAAGAACTCAAGGTCGCCGAGAAGTGTTAATGAACTGGGTACCCTTCCTTTGAGTCGATTACCAGATAAATCGATATGGGTATAGTTCAAATGCCATCTTTTGGGGAGATAACCAGTAAGATTGGCGTTTGAAATCGTTACAGACCTCAGCTTCTTCAAGTTACCAAAAATGACAATCGGTCCGCTGGCGTTAACTGTCACTTGAGAGACTGTTAGATCGGTGAGGTTCTTTAAGCGGCCGAGAAAAACGCCGGTCAGCTTACGGAGGCTGTTGATACAAGAGAAGGAGCGGAGGCTGGCGATGAGCTCGGCGGGGAAGTGAACGGGCTGGATGGGGCAGTTTAGGAATTCGAGATCTTGCAATGTGCTTAGAGATTTCAGGGCGGTGATGGACATTTCAACGTCATCGGAGCAGTTGACGAGGCGGAGAGAGAGGAGGTGGCGGAAGGGCTTGCCATTGTCGCAGAGAGTGGTATTGTGGAGGGAGGGCTGAATGCAGGGGTCCTTGACGGTGGGGATATTGAGAGATTGCAGAGCAAGGAGCTGTTTTGGATCAAGGGTTGATGGAGCAGATGGCGATGTTGAAGGTTTTGGAGCTGGAGGTGAGAACGAAGGTTTTGTAGGCGTTGGAGATGGAGCTGAAGGTGAGGGCGATTTGGTTGGAGAGATTTGTGGTGGTGATGGTGAAGTTGAGTTGTGGGAGAGAGAGGAAGAGATGGTGACGGTGGAAGATAAGAGGAGTGCTAGTAAGATGAAAAGGAATGGAGGTCTGGGTTCCATTGCAGAGAGAGAGAGAGAGGATTTTGAATTATGATGGCTCTGTTCCTGTTGGGAGTGCAATCGAGGAGTTTACTTCGCCTGCTTTGTTAAAGAACAGTGGATTGAGCATGAAGAAGGGGACAGTTGGATTTGGAGTGTCTATGCTGGGCTCTCTGGTATAATATCAAATATTATTACAACTGGACTGGCGGGTTTTTGAAGTAAGGATTACTGATTTTATTATTTATCTACAGGCAAAGGCAAAGCTGGGTTGGGTACACATCAGCTGTAACACTAACACATTCTTGGGGGCCCATTTACTCGCCACGTGGCTCAGCTAAGACCACTGAGATTCAAGTCATAATGGGTCCACATGATGGCGGTGATCTCAACATCACATGGAGAATTAAGAGGGTCCAGCGGTCAAACCAGCCCCAGACCCGATAGAATCCACCCACATTCAGTGGTTCATTAATGACTCATAAACTCAAATCCTAACCTAATCAATCAGATTATTTAAGTGGCTATCTGTCCAGAATTAGATGGGGTTTTCACAATTTTGATGGGCATTGCCATAGAATTTGCTTCAAGATTTTAGAAGGAAGAATGTATGTAGATTTCCAACTCCAATCCAAGACTAATCAAATCCTTAATGAAGTCATAATAAAAAACCCTAATCCCCAAATTGGGTCTGTGATGGCAGTTGATATTTAGATTTGAGGGATTAAAAACAACACCCTAATTCTGGAATATGATGTCCACCTTCCGAACTCAACTCTGCAGTCTGCAGCTAAGAAAAGATCCTTTTTTTTTTAAATTAACTCCAAAAGGAAAGTGGAGAGCAGAAAGGTGTCGTAACTGGTGCATTCTCGGGCTTTGCTACAGGAATGGACGGTAGAGATGGTGTTGCACGTGTGCCTCACATTTATTATTTGTACCAATAAAAGAAGAAGATTTGTATGGTGAATGAGGAGGGGAATTCATCCAGGTCCAGAGAAGTATCACTCGAGGCTGGTTCTTTGTATTCAAGCCGTTCAAAACAGAATCAGGGTTGTGTATGCATACCAATCCCGATGCGTGGATTAGCTGCTTTCATGGAAGCAACTCAGAAATACACTGAGCCAAGCAACGGTAACTTTTCATTTTTCAATGTTACCCTTCTAAAGTGACCGTTGGAAAAAGGGTTGGATCTTGATCGGGTCGATGCATTTCTAGGTCCCCATTCGGATTCGGATCTGTTCCTTTTATACATTTGGGCAATATCACAATACATATTCAAAGTCAGATATAGCTGTTGATGTGTTACATGAAAAAAAGTACATTACGCATAGATAATATTACAATAGTCTAGAATATGCAGATATTTAAAATAATCTATTAATTATACATCAAATAATATATATATATATATATATATATAACTATTTTTTATACTTTTTAGATATTTTCAATTTTAGGAAAAAACATAGATTTAACAAGTTTCAGCTGCAGGTATAAATTAGAGGCCCAAACTATTAACTCAATATATAAAAACCATAAAAAAGTTTGGATGAACAGTGAATAACAACTTATTGATCAAGAACTTATAATGGCAATTATGGGACCATTAACATTCAAATGTCCCTTGTACTGTTCCATACGATGCAGCCATGCCACATGCCCATGACTTGAGATATCGATACGATACACCTATACTGAATATATCATATATTGATATTTTGAACCTTGATTCAATCTATTTACTTTTACTTTGTCCAGTATTCAAGTTTTTGTTACACAAAACTGCTACTTTGCTTGTAATGGTTCATCATTCATGAATTCTCCCTCAATTATCATCAATATTTTTGGGGCCACAATTGTGTTGTTTTGATCTACGAAAAACAATAAACTTTCACTACTGTGTCACACAACAAGATTGTTTCACTTTGAACCGTTTGGACTTTTGGAGCCATAGACAACCAATTTACTTACTAGTTTCTATGTCTAATTGTCTATGATTATGTAACATTCATCAAGCGTAAAGAAGCAGCACGGAAATCAAGAATAGGGATGAGCAAATGCGTAGGTTCTACCTAGAACTGAATAGAACCAACTTCAAACTAGTCTTGAACCAACCCTATCCAATTTGTTACAGGGTAGGGTCCGGTTTCAAATTCTTGGAACCGACCCGATGAACTGACTTTGGTCGGCCTTGGTGGAACTAATTTTGGAACTGAACTTGTCTTGAAATAAACCCCAAAATATTTTTAAGGATATAAAGATTTAAACCCAAGCGTTCATGGTTATAAAAGCAATGCTCTCACTTCACTATTGAGTTACTTAAGTGATTTGATCATTTGTTTTCATTTTAATATTTGAATGTTTATAATAAATAATATAAAAGGTAATATTTATAAAATTTAAATTATAATGACACATTTTGAACAATATATTAATATGTTATGATCATCTACATATTAATATTAAGTTACTCAATTTAATCAATAAAGATAATGAAAGTTTTAAACTATATATTATCATTATTAAAAATCAAGTTAAAGGACATGTTTCATTTTTTTGTTCAGTAAAAAAAGAACATGTTTCACGGGTAAACCCTAGAACTGATCTTGAAACCGCAAAAGTCAAAACTGACCTTTACAAGGTCGATTCCGGTTTCAAAAACCTAGAACTGACCCTATAAGGTTCTAGGTTATGCCATCAAATAGAACCGACTCGACTCAACCCATGCTCACCCGTAATCAAGAGACCAAGAAAAAGGAGGAATCTCCGACTCTTTTGCTTAGGTTGATATTTAGCCATGGAAGATTGTTATTATTGCTGCTGCAACATTTCCACCGAAAATCGAAAAAATCTAAAGTGGCATAGTAGCGTTAGCCCTCACAACGCAAAAAATTTGAAGTGAAATCTTTTTCCTCTAATCTAATCTTTGATTGCGGTATTTTCAGTTGGCAAATTGTCTCTAGTTATTGATTGAGATCAATGTTTCTGAATCAAACCAAACTTGGATGGGACCCATTTAGCTATCTGGGTCATTATTTTACACTTTTACTGGTTTGACCGGAAGTTCAACTTTGATTGAGAGGCTCAAGTTCGGGTCACACAACCCAGGCTAGCTCGACTAACTTGAAATGCATATACATACACGTCTTGGAAACGGAAGCACACAGAGGATGAGAGAACATTCAAAGGCTCTCCTTGAGTAGGTGGAGTTTTGCGTTTCTCTCCTTCGGCAAAGCTTTCTCACTCTAGGTGGAATTAGCATTCTGAGAGCTTGTTCCTCGTAGTAGTAGTAGAGAGAAGCAAATGGATGATGGAAATGCAAACCCAACGGAAAAGGGTGACGATCTTACTAACACTTTGGATTTGGATGCTCTCTGTGTCAATGGCCTTTACAACAAGGTATTAGCAGATAAGGCAGCTAAATGCACAAGGTGTTCTCGATGTTGTGCACAGTATGTGGAGCAAATCCCCAAGTACGATGTGGAATGGCAGATGGGGAATATTCTTCGGATTTCTTTCCGAATGTCGACTGGGTCCTGGATTGAGGACCGTGACTAGTGAAAGAATTTCCAATCCTATTCAGGAGATGGGAACCTAGTAATTAGTATAATCCCTCGAGAGTTAACCTTCCCGGAACTGGATATAACTGTCAGAATCCATGATGTCCAGTTGGGTTGCAATCAAATACTCGGGGAAGGTTGTCAAAATATTTTTAGGGCGGAATGAAGACCAAAGCGGTCCATGCTGGAGTCAATTTCTCAGGGTAAGAGTTAGACTAGATGTAACAATGCCCATAGCCACATGCATACTGGAAACTGACTGAGTCACTAGCACTTGTTTTGAATGGAAAGAGTCGTGACATTGCAACAGATCTATCTCTTTTGGTCAAGGACATTTATTTCTTCAGCGATCGCAAACCTGGATTATTCTTTTTGTTTTGTTAACAGGAACTGTAATAGTGCTGCTCATCTTCTAGCTCAGAGGGGTCTCAGAGATGGTGGATTTTTTCTTTTTGATTGCCCTGATTGGATAGTGAATCTTGAGAGGGCAAATTTTATCTAGTAAGAGCCCTGGGCTGTTGATTTTGTACTGTGACTGCCTTCTTTTTTTCTATCGTAATACATTCCCTTTCTTTCCAAAAAAAGAAAAAAAAAAGACTAACTTGTAATTCTAGTAAAAAATGATATCAGAAATATCCCATAAACAAGGTTTTGAAAGGCTAAAGACTGTTTTGTTTATGAAAGATGGAACACGATTTCATTAAAATATTAGGAGGGAAGAAGAGATTCCTCCACAGAATTACCACTGAAACAGAAACAACAAAAATTTCAGATTATAAATTGATCATCTCAAATAACCCTTTGCCACTGGGACCTGCAAACAGAGAATCTCAAGCCTGAGAATTCCTATTATAATGCAGACCATTTAAAAAGACATGGTTCCATCCTTCCAATTACAGCCTCAACTGGGGAATCCAAGTCATTAAATATTATCTGATTTCTCTTCAACTAAATCTGCAACAGATGGAGTTCGGATCTGCTCCTCAGAGCACGCCTCACACCATCCTCACAGTGCATTGCATCCGTGTATTGGGAACATCTTCACACCATCCTCAGTGTATTGGGAACATCTTCCCATGAATGATAAAATCATGTATGGGCGATGTTCTCAATGTACGGCTGCAATGTGCTGTGAGATTAGTGTGAGGCGCACTCTGTAAGGAGCAGATCCGATCTCCGACAGATGGCTATGGAGACCAGATTCCATAAAATAGAACCCCTCTTGTTAAAGACTGGAAGGACAAGCCGCAACAAAGCATTCTGGGGTCCATAGGGACAGTCATTTGCAGTCCAAACAGCTGACTGAAATGCATCCAAATGCCAAAAAAAAAATGCAATGAATAAGCAGGTGATCCGCTGATTCTTCCTACTTAGTCCTTACACAAACTGCAGTTACTGACCAAGGTCATTTCCTTGGACTGCAGATAGTCAATTATTAACATTCCATCCAAGATGGCAGACCACAGGAAAAAGGCTGACTTTGAAGGAGCTTTCAGTTGCCCTTTACCTTCCACATCCATCTCCAAGCCGCTGCTGGCTGGTTTGGAGCATTCAACTTCAACAGAAATGATTTATCATAAAAAAAAAAGACACGACTTGGCAGCATTCCACCCGGGGACCAGACCACTTCTCCAGCCACCAACTCACAACGCTCCTTAAGGCTATGTTTGGTTTGAAGGAAAATGTAGGGAAAGGAAGGGAAAGGTAGGGAAACCCATACAAGGTTTGTAAAGGTTTCCCTACCTTTCATTTCCTTTCCCTATTTTCTCCTTAAAACCAAACACAGCCTAATAGAAACTTCTTTATTTAGGGCATATTGAACAGGTTTGGGAGGGATAATCTCAATGGTCTAGCACCACACCAAACATCATTCCAGAAAGACATATGCTTCCTATTACCAACTTTAAAGGATCTGAACTGGGAGAATTCATCCTGGATCTTCATCACACCTCTCCAGATGTTTGTACCATATGTATTTAGAGGAATTCCCGTAGATCAGTTGAAATCATCTCTTCCATATTTATTCATAATCACCCTCCTCCAAAGGACATCCTTCTCCACACCATAACGCCATAACCACTTACCAAGCAAGGCTTTATTAATCAACCAAAGGTGTTTCAATCCCATTCCCCAAAATTGTAATCCTCAAAAATAAGAAAATGTAGACAATAGAAATACAGATAATTTCAGTAACACACATGTACATACGAAATTAAATAAACTTGCATACACATTACTAGATTATAATTTATAATGACAATTAGAAATTATAAAAAAACTACCGAAAGTAAATACCAAATTGACAAAGTATAAATAAATAATTAACAATAAAAAACATAAGATATACACAGATTCAACAAACATGTAGATAGAATGACAATTTTACACTTTATATGGGAAATTAGAAACTAGTGAATATAAATATAAAAAACATGGAGAGATATTTAACAAACCAAGCATAGTTGTAGAGACACAAATTTGTATAACAATGATACAAATTGAAAAAACATTAGGCTCAGTTTGGTTGAGTGCAAATGGGCTGTGTAAATTCTGGTTTATTATTGCTTCGGATTTGATTTTGTCTTGATTGTTTGTGAGAATTAGGAAGTAAAATGATGTTGTCCCCCACCTTATATAGTTTATATACAAGAGAATGGAGGTAGGAATGTTATTTGTTTAGGAGTGAGATAGGAAGCTAGATGTTGTGGTCCCCAGTCCTCACTATATATGAGAGGGAATCAAGGTAGGTCGAAGGTGGATTTTGCATCAGTTTTTGAGACACAATTTGCGCTGCCAATGAGTGCAAATGAGACAAAAAGTATGATATTTGTATTGGATAGGAGTGCAAATCATAATTACAAACAAACGGATGCAAAACTGAACTGGGTGCAAAATTTGTATCGGGTTCAGATTTGTATTGCAAACAAACAGAACATTGGACATTAAACATGAATTCTTTATGTTATAATTTAGTGTTATTTGGTCAATGTGACCAAAATAATCTCCCTATGCATGCCAAGCTGTAAAAGAACTTCTGAGGCTTATGCCTTTTATTGCCTAGGCATACTCCTCATGCCTCAATGCTTAAGCCTTCTTGGGCATCATCTCTCTTTCAGGAGGCGAGTTCATCATTGGCGCCGTTTAAAACCATGCTGGTAAGACTTTGAGCTAGTAAAATCAATGCTTTCTGCCAATAAAGATTGGGAAAATGTATGACTTACAAACTTGTTAATCAATGAAAGAATAAAAATCAAACACAAAGATCCCCCAAGCATACAGAAGCCAAAAAGGATGAACAGAACAGTGAACACACTAGGAATTGCCAAGGCACTACCAAATACTAAAGTTCTATGAATTTCCAAGCTCAGAAAAGTGCTAGCCTGAATTTTCACAGAAACACATATTTTGCAGATGAATCTTAGAAAGCAAAGAGAAAATTGGTGCTAAAAAGAAGGAACTGTTTCATTAGGCATGAGACAGCAAGAAAACTCACCTGGCTTGAAACATATAGCTGAAATAGGTCTCTTGCCTATATCCATGGTAAACAAGACATCTTTGCAATGCATATTAAATCAGCACATAAAGTGATAACAAATGACTAGAGAAATAGAACAGAAGAGGCATGGAATTCAAAATCATTATTACAAAATAAAAAATCAAAATCATTATAGATCATTTTAAACAAGTTTCAATTCAATTCTAAATTTCCAACCAAAGGCACATATCTCGTGGACTCAAATCGTAAGCCCAGACCCGACATCCCAAGTCCGAAGTCACCATAACCAGTGAACTGAAATAGTCAATAAATTAGCTTGAGCCTCGATAAAATAAAATAATGACTACTGGTGGAACAATTGCAGAGTCCATGGCATAAAGAAACTAGGGGATCCAAAAAGGCAAAAACTTTCTCTTTTTCTTTACCTTTTCCTCTTTGTTACATTGAATGTTCATCCCTTCGCTTCCAAAACAAAAAACAAAAAAAGGAGAAAAAAAAGCATAAAATTAAAATCTACAGCACAGTGCACAAGGAAACTACAAGGGAGAAGAAGAAGAAGAAATATCAAACATCTGGAATGATGAGTTTCTTCCCAGCATAAATGGTGTCCCCTGCGAGCCCATTAGCCGCCTTGATCGCATCAATCGACACCTAGTATACATCATGAAAAAGAATTTACAGTATGAGTCTATGAAATGCCCGAATATGAATGAAATTCCACAGAAGAATCCTTCATCAAATTAGAACTCGGATAGAATAAGTGTACCCCGTATTTCCGAGAGAGACCCCAAAGGGTATCTCCCCTCTCAATCTCTATAGTTAGACACGACGATTGTGGCCTGTCTTGCTCTTGGGATCTCGCCAGGTTCTACTCAAAAAGAAGAAGGAAATGAAAATAACAAAACAAACAATCCATTTGAACTTTCTTTCACTGAATTTACTGTGTTGCCCACCTTGACAGCTTCCGGAGGAGCGGGCGCCTGGGATTCTTCAAGTGGCGGAGTTGATTCGTGGCACGGTTTTCTGCTCCAGATGTTGCTGCTATTTTTAGGGTTGAGGGCTTTGAGAATGCTCACGACGGTACCGGAAAACAGGACGAATTCAGAGGTCTTGTCATTGTCTTTGTCTTTGTCTCCACGCAGAGGAGCAGACGCCCGGGATTGTTCAAGTGGCGGAGTTGATGCTTGGCAGAATTTGCTACTCCAGGTGCTGGTACTGCTACTGAAGTCGTTGTTTTTGAAAGGGTTGAAGGATTTGAGAGTGTTCATGGCGTTACCTGAAAACGCAAGGAATCCGGCGATCTTGTCGTCGTATTTGTCTTTTTCTCCATGGGAATTGCCGTTGGCTGCGGTCGACGTCGTATCGGCTGTCTTCATCTCCGGTTGTTTTGATCCCTCGGTGGTATCGAGTACCGCTCGACTTCTGCTTTTGCTCGGTTTCAGAATTCGCTATTTCGGATGCTACTTTCATATGATTATATCACGTGCGAGAGATGACTGATGAAACCGGGTTGCTCATGGTTCGGTTAACCGAACCACCGAACCGTCGACCTTTTATTTTAAATCGAACCGATATTTCGGTTTTTGGAAAATCATGAACCAAAACCAATGGATTAACCGGTTGATTAATTCTGTTTTCTACCCATTTAGTTCTTTAATTTTTATATTTTTAATATAGATTATAAATCAATATATAATATAAATATAGGAATAGCAACGGGTGAGGATCATATTCCTCATCCTGGACTCCAAATGTTTTTTTTTTTTGAAAAAATAAGTTACTTAAAATAAAAAAAATTAATATCTATCTATTTATATATATACACACACTCAGGAAAGCTATGTACTAAATATGGATGGAAAAATTTTTCATCTCTATATAAATAATATAAAAGGTAAATTACAAAGACATGAAAATGGAGTCTTTATCTCAGTCATAGTACAGGGGTCTTTGTAATTTACCTTCTATATTATTTATATAGAGATGAAAAAGTTACTTATCCATACTGAGTACTTACCTTTTCGCAGTGTTATATCCCCTTTTAATTTTCTGTTAAAATCTACTGTTAGAATATTTTTTTAATCTCTATACTACCCTTATAATATTTATTCGAGATAATTGAAAAAAAAAACACTGTTTATCTTTCCTAACCTCACGATAGATAAACAGTAGGCGGTAATGCCTTTTGAAAGTAGGGATTGGGATTACTAAGGGTAGTGCTAACCGAATTCCATCTCCTCCACCGTCCATCTCTCCTCCTCCTCCCTTAGGAAAATATCTTATTCTGAAAAAGGCCATAAATTAAATTAATGTAATAAATGAAATGAAAGAATCTTCTCTCTGAAATCTTCGAAAAGGCATTTTAATCATGTAAACTCCAAGATTGATAAACAATGAACATTATTTAGTAGCGGGGCTGAAAGCGTTCTACAACCTTCCTATTTCCTGTGGGCGTTTCTCTTTCTCATCATCTTTATATTTTTACCTTGCCGTCTTTCACCCCCTCTCTTTATTCCTTAATAAATATCTAATCATCGTCATCGTCATCTCTCTCGTTGCCTCTTTCTTCAATTGATTTCTGATTTTTTTATCTCTATCACCCATGGCCTTCGAACCAGAAATGTTCGAGGCATCGTTTCTGGATCAACTAATCAGTAGTAGAAATAGAGATCTCTCTCTTTCTTCCTCTTATACTGGGTTTCACGAGCTCACCGAGGAGAGAATCCGATGACCCTGATCGGGAAAGTGAAGGACGGAGCCACAAGCGGATCATCCTCATCAACAGCCCCTTTCATGCAAGGCATGATCGTCATTGAAGGTGCTGGAAGGGGGTTTTTGTCTCCGTCCTTCACGATACATGAATACGAACAGCAGCGGCGCTTATCCTCATCAACCCCTTAATGATACAGGAACAACAACGGCACTTAGAAAGGATTATTGCCACCGCTGTTCGTGTATCCTGAGGTGGGAAGATGAACAGTGTATTATTCAAATAGATATTACAAGGGTAGTATAGGGATTAAAAAATATTACACCGAGAGATTTTAACGGAAAATTAACGGAAGTGGGTTTTTGTCTCACGGTCATAGTACAAGGGGGTCTTTGTAATTTACCCTAATATAAATATATATTAAACATATGTATATATATTTATATATATACTAGTCGTTTTCGTTAACCGGATTTTTTGGGTTAGATTTCATCATTTTGGTCTGAACACCCTATATAAAGTGATGAGGTATTATTAGGGGTGAGAATGGGTTGGTTCGATTTGGTTCCATAGTAGAACCTGGAGCCTACCTTGTAGGGGTGAGAATGGGTTGGTTCGATTTCGAGGGTTTACCCATGAAACCTGTTCTTTCTTTACTCTCCCCTTCAAAAAATGACATGTTCTTTAAAAACTTGATTTTCAATAAATATAATATATAGTTTAAAATTTATATCATCTTTATTGATTAAATTAAATAATTTTATATGTACATTATCATAATATATAAATATATGGTTCAAAGCTTATCATTTAAATTTTGTAAGTATTACCTTTTACATTACTTATTATACACGTTCAAATCTAATATATATATATATATATATATATATATATATATATATATATATATCAAAGGAAGGTCTTTTGGCTAGAGTCCTCTTCTTTTAGACACATGGCATCCTATTAATTCAAGAGATAAGATTCAAAAAATGGATAGTTTTACTCCAAAACTTTCTCAATAGACAATTATTTATTAACTTAACACATGTTTTATTCATAAAATTTAATTAAACATGTGGCACCCTAAAATTTAAATAAACAAACAAGTGGGCTCATCCACAGCTAAAAAACTGTCAAAAGTGGTTTTGGTCACAAACAAATTTTAATTTTAATTTTATTTTAGAGCCCTACAGTTCAAAAACTGATTGTGCATTAAAGTCATGTAAATTACCAGAATTTAGTGTAATTAGAAAATTTATATTAACAACAATACTCTATAATTAAATACTGTTATTAATAAGAATATAAAAAATAATCATCACCATTACTATTTTTTTATGCCTAACAAGGCAATTCAATAAGATTGGCTCAAGTACAATCGTTATCAATACAAGATGCAACCTAAGAAGAAGTCCATGCTTTGCTAAACAATGTGCTTCTGAATTGGCAAGCCTTGGGACAAATTGTACTGATCAAGTTTGCATCACCATTACTAATTAAAAATAATATTAATCTTTAATTAAATAATTAAGTAAATTTTAACAAACTAAAACCCCTCATTCGAATGTAGTTTCAATTAGTAGGCTAGACAAGAAGATGAGAGGTTAATCAATTAGTAGGCCACGTACCTAAATTGTAGGAAGAGGAGAGATTATTTAGTTACTAGGCCAAGAACCAACCATTTCATTCGAACTGCATCCAAATTGCAACTCTGCACCTCTACATCCAAACTGCCACAAAAAAGATTTCAGCAAACTCACCACCACCCACTACACCCAAACTGCAACTTTGCAATTAAGAAACACAACCTCTACATCAAATATGATTAAAGTTCTGGATCAAGACCGGGAGTCGAAATTAGTAGAGTGTATACCTATTTATCAAAGTTCAAACTACAATTCTCATTAGTATCTTGATCTAGGTTCAGACAAAGCAAACCACAGAAACAGGCAATGATAATGCATTACCTTTCTGAGACCCAATAAGTTGCTATGGCCGGTTATTGTAGTTAGAAGAGGACATACTAGCCGAATAGCCACCATGGCCGGTTATTGTAGTTAGAAGGTTCAGATGATTCCGGTAGTTGATTCCTTTCAGCTCCCTGGTGCTTGCTTGGAATCTTTACAGGCATGGTGTTCCTAGTTGTATGTAGAAGTTGTCTTTTCATTCAATTACTGCCTGCTTACTCCTTACTTCACGTTTAACTGTACCCAGTGCATCAGGAAGTCGTGATTCAAAAGATGGAATCAGTACACAATCTGAATCTGAGGAATATATACCACTGACCTATTAGAAGTTCTTGTAGATTTGGTTTGGTTTATTATTTCTTACGTACTACAGTTTTTAATGCTTATTAGAAGTTCAAGTAGATTTTTGTTGTGTTGTATGAGTTTGAAGAATGTTTCTTACTACAACCTCCATTTTTAATGCTTACTACAGTCCATGTTCCTTCATTGTTGTTTATTATAAATTTGCGTAGATTTTTGGTTTGTTGTATGAGTTTGAAGGATGATGTACAAATAGACCTATTTGTGGGTCCGGTTGGGCTTTGTCTATGTATCAACAGAATACATTCAGACTCGAGCTCGAGCCCGGCCCGGCCCGACCATCGGGCCTAGGTCTTGAGCCTGAACCCGATCCTCATATAACGACCGAAGCTCGGGCCTGAGCCCGAGCCCTATCAGAAATTCGAAAACAGAAATTTTTCTTTTTTTATTCAATAAAAAAGTATTTTATTTATATTAAAAACTTACAAAATAAAAAAAATAAACATGTCACTATTACTTGAAAAAAAAGAGAATAATAACAAAGAAAAAATATTATATATATATATATATATATGTATTTTATTAAATAAAATATATTTTTTATTATTTAATATATAGTATCATGTCGGGCTCGGACTCGAATTGAGTTTTTTTTTGAGAAAACCAGAGCCCGGTTCAAAAAAAATCAAACCCGATGCTTTAGACTCGAGGCCAAGCCCACGAACCTAAAATTATGACTAAGCCCAACTTATAACGGGTTAGGTCGGGCTGGGCCATCAGTATTCTATGTACAAATTGAGATTGCCAACCACTGACGATTAAGTCTGTGTAGTCATCGGTGGTCGATAGTGTCATACCATAATGGTTGGTCTGTGAAGAAGGTGTATACGATCAACCAACGACCATTTAATACCGGCGATCATAAGGTTGTCCCTTAGTTTAGAAGACATCGCCGATCACCAGCGATCATTTATGCCTGACTACCAGTGGCCAGGAGGTTGATAGTTACCTGGTTGAAAATATGGCTCGACTGAGTAAGAAACGGCTGTGCATTCGACCAACAATTTATTTTAAAGTGGGTCCCATTAAACGCTGATTCGAATTAGTTACCCGGTTGAAAAACATTTTGAAGCCTCGACTTGAGAATACAATGGCTATAAATAGAAGAGAATAATATTTAATTAATAATAATAGTCATCAATTCAAACTAATAATTAATAAATAGATGAATTAATAATTATTTATTAAGTAAATACAATTCTTTTTTTGATAAAAAAGTAAATACAATTCTAAGGCGGTTGGAAACTGCTTTGATTTGGAGCGAATTTTCAGTAATATTAACATTTATTATGAAAAAATAATATTAACATAAAATATAATAATAACAACCTGAACAGCGTATGGGTTTTCACGAACAAATTTACCCATTTATTTCTTACCCATACATAATACGGGCTATT